AATGTGCTCTCGTCTGAGAAGTATATTCTCTGCGAGAAATTTTCATCAGACTCGCACATTCCCATTACCCGCTCGCAGAATTGAATACGCTGCTCTGGATCTAGTAGTAGCAACTCCTGATGCGTTTGATACTTGTACGGGTGGAAAGAATGTCGGTGAAGAATTCTGCACGCGCTTGACTGCGATATATCCCCATCGTGCGACCCAGCATCGTGGTGGAATGACGCGGATTCTTCACAATGACATTCAATGCCACCCGACAATTATCGTTGCCCGTAGCTGGACGTACTCGCACCGGTATGCGATTGCGCAGCGACCCCGTTTGCACCCTTTTAGCTATAAGTCTGGTGACTATAGTATGACTTGCCTGCCTATTCGGGTTTCGCGCATTAAACATACGGGCAGCTTCCCGTGCATTCTTGTTTGCTGGTCCAAAATATACTACCAACTCCGCTCTCTCCTCTTCCGTGAACCTCATGTTGCACGAACACAAATCGCAAAGCGCACAACACAACGACAATAAATCTAAAATTTCAAAAGCCGATCTAGAAAAACGCAAATTAACTGGAAAAACACGAAAGAGAAATGCAGAGAAATAAGGGTCACAATAATAAATTCACTGGCTGCGAAGTTGACAATACAGCTTACTGAACGATACTGAATTGTTATTAAACAATTGTTATTAGTTGCATTAGTAAACAATTGCTATTACCATAGAAACAATAGGATAACTTTCAATTAAATTAACTTAATTTAAATTGCAATAAGTCATAAAAATGCTTACGGATTCCTAAAAGTTTCCTAATTCATATCCAGGAGTCTTGAGAAGAAATTTTAAAAAATTTTACTTCCAGAGAGCTGGGGAAGATTCAATTTAAGGCAGTATCTTGCTTTAAAAGGCTCCAAAAATCGATTTTTTTTTTGTATTGCCTAAGTCTATTCCTAATGTATCCAAGAATATATAGTCAAAGTTATAGAGGCTAATTCACAATATTTTCAAATATACAGCACTAAACACAATGATGTATGGAGCAGGTATACGAGCGCTCGGGCAGCTGGAGCTGGGAGCAGCTGGTCCTTTACTTTAACCCTCTATGGGCCCGTGTAACTTTCAGGTCACATATTAATTTATCGACATTTCACAAAATAATTATAGTTTTTTTCATGAGATGGCGCACAAATCTTAACTCTATGACGTTGCCAACACAACCAATACTAGTATTCATGACCATTGCTAGGCTCATCAACCTGAAATAACAAAATAAATGCTGTGCAAACTGTCGGCAGTAAAATTACGCGAAACCATTTGATCCAATTGATATCATTTGTGCTTTTGTCAGTGATTACCAAACTAAAAACAGTGGACACAATAACTCTGGGTTAGTATATCAATAACAACCTATTTGTTTGCATTTCAATTTTCAATCTTTTTTCTCAAATTTTAAACTTTATAGGCTGGGGTGACTCGAATGTCACATAGTGCATATATCGCAATAAAATTGTTAAAATTGTGTAAAAAATTTGTTTTCATTTGCGTATATAGGTTTATAATTTCTGATTTTTCGTTCCCACAATTTTTTTGGAGTTAAAACAAAAATTCGGCCCATAGAGGGTTAAAGCGCGTTTTCTCGAGTTTTCATTTTCACGATTTTTCTAAACTGGCGGGCGTGATCGCAAGAAAACTAGACACCAATCAAAACGAACCAAGGCTTGTTAGCTTCAGTTTTGTATTCTCTTCTATTTGAACTAAAAAGATTCATGAAATAAATTCTAAACAACTTTTTTAGCAAGTTAAAATGATTTTTTTTAACAAAAAACATATTTTTTTAAAACTTGAGAAAAATTTTAGATTTCACAATTTTTTGGGTTTTTCTTAGATCATCTAGAAGAAAAATATATGGAAATAAAAATTTTCTTTGGTTTTTTTGTTTCAAACGAAAATTGTGTGCTTCATATTTCCCGCCGATTGGAGACTGCAAGGTGTTGCACAAATGAGCATAAAGATCTGCTGTGTTTGAATATTTTTGGCTCAAAAATTTTTTTTTTAAATGTTCAAATATGCAATAAAATAATCTTCTAAGTTCGCTCCACTTGCTTATTTTTTTCTGTCCTAAAAAAGTTCCCCGAAAAACGCTTTTTTTAGGCCTCCTAAAGCAGGATACTGCCTTAATCCCGAAATTTGGGAAGAAATAAATTGAGAAGGAATACCTTCCACTTCCAGGGAGCTGAGGAAGATTCAATTTGTTCCCAAAGCTTGAGAAAAAACAAATTTAGAAGGAATACCTTACACTTCCAGGGAGCTGGGGAAGATTCGATCATCATATTTCCCAACACCCTCTGGTAAGCCACTCCTGGGTGCATATCCTAGCTGTAAATGTTTATAAATTTCGAGAAACATCCTAACACTCCTGTAACATCCTAACACTCTTTAAGGTATCCTGATACAGTCCGGAGAGTGATCCTGCTTCCCCTCCTTCTACGATTCACTAAGAAGTTTTAGAAATACTTGAAGATTTTATATTTCAGATGCTCAAGATTGATTCTAGCGTTACTACGATTCACCCAATGACAAAAAATAATTTGTTCATACGTACTTTTTTGCTGTAAAAACATTTTATTTAATTGATTTTTAAATTATTTTGCAGCATTGTATTGCAGAATTGCAGTAGTGATCAAATTGTGAATTGTTTAAACTTCATATTGTTTTAATTGCAATCTGTTGTGAAAATAAATCTTAACTGATATTACATTTTGTCATTACAATATTAATTAATTAATTATTTCATTAACTTATCTAATGAAATGTTTCAATAACCTAGCTGATTGCTATGCGAACTGTCATTGTGCGCTTATGTGAATCGGTCACGGTAAGCTATTCCTAGCTGTAATTTTCTGAAAAGGCCATACTGCCGTGTCAGGCACTTGCGGCCAACTTCTGCTGGTGCGTTTCTCAATTTATTTAATAGACTTGCGCTTACAACATTTATAAAGTGTCACTTACCAAAGAGTTTCCAAGTATTCCGGACCAAATATTAATACTCAATCGCTGTTGCTATTATGTTCAGCATATAACTACAGATTCTCCGATGGCCAGTAATAATAATTATGGTGGTTGAACGTACTATCGCGACCAAAATTACACTCATTCGTAAAAAGCACATTGTCTATGAATATATCATTTAAAATGCTGCTGCATTATGAGCCATCGAAAATATTCCAGGCGAAGAGGATAATCTTGCGTTCGCAATGATTGTACACGCGTATAATGGTACGCGTGCATTTTATTTTCTTTGTGAATGCGCTGAATACAGCTATACGAATGGTCTAGTAACCGTTCAACGTCACGAATGCTGCACGTTGGATCTTCTTCAATAACCTCCAGGACTCCCTCTTTTGCCTCAGGTGTCTTTGCAGTTGGCGGGGCTCCTGCGTCATTATTTTTGCGGTTGCAAACTAGCTTCCTAGTTTCTGATGCTTGAAAAACTAATCGTGAAATTACGTTTTTGGACGGTTTTCATCCACGCACTGGATGACGTCGTTCATCGTCAACTGCAAAAGCTCGACTTGCTGCCGCTGCATTCCTCCCTCACTCTCCATATAAAATAAGCATTTCAGTGTACTCCGAAGCCGTATACTCCCTCTATACTATGTACACGGTACAGTAATGGTATAAGATGAGAACTGATTTTACAGAGACTCGCGAAACTTGATTTTTCAAGCAAGCAACATTATTTTGTTTCGCCAACCGTATTTTTGCTTTGTCAAAATCTACAACGAAAGACAATAGCACATTTCGCCAATCTGAGCTCTGTGAAAATGCAGGGACATACAGGGTGTCGCGTAAGAAGAGGCTCAAATGAATCATCTATTATTTCGAAATCCAAATCGAGAACAGGAAGACGTTTTATTGGAGCATGCTTTTCATAGTTTTCGAAAACGACTTGATTGCTGCGTTAAATTAGATGATGTACATTTTTAAAGTATCAACTAATAAAATAACCCAGACAACACATACAACACATACATAGAAACGTCATCTTTCAGATGCTCTAAAGACAATGTTACTGTGCCATTCGACACCTGAAAGACGACTTTTGGACATTGTGTATTGCCTGGGAAGTCACTTTTGATATTAGCCTGTGCCATTATAAATCAGCCTATTTTACAAAATTTCTTGCTTTCGACGGTGCTGAAACCAGCGAATGCTTTTCGAAGTTTCGATTTTTTTTTCAAAAATAAAGAAATCACAGTATTTCAAACTTTAGTGCAATTTAAAGAAAAAAAAATTAGTGTTTAATAATTTATAAAAAATTGCCCAATCAAAAAATTAAAAAAACCTCTCGTCAGACTATAGAGGAAATAATTATCAAAATTAAAAAAAAAAAGGTTAAAAAATGTTGAAAATTGACTGGGTTAGCGTGTTGACACTATCTGAAAACGTAGTTTCGAGAAAAACGCATTTAAAATTTCTGGTAGGTACATACAACGTGAACTTACAGCTAGTCTCCCATTCCAGCGTCGTACTGTACCAAAAAGGAAATACAACTTTTTGGCCTAGGGTCGTAATATACTATTTTTACTATTTTACAAATTCACTGTTAAACGCGGCAATTTAGGAATCTACACAGTTAGTTTACACTTATTCTGTAGGTGGGTAAATATTTGATAAGGTGGTCAAATCAGTATAGTAAATGGCCAAGCAATAAACAACGTGCCTGGTAGAAACTAACATACTTTTTAGTAAACATCGTACAACCAGAGTATTCTGTAGAATGGGCCAGACAAAAAACAAGTTATTTTTTTATTTTTTCATGTCCAGGGGAAATACATCTACCAGGGGAATGACAAAGTTACAGGGGAATTAGTTTCAGAGCCAGGGTAATGATATTGTAGGTTTCCATGTAAAGGAAAATGAATGTAAAAGAAATCAGAACGTATTAATTCAAACTTTTTTGTATTTGTGTTGCAAAAATAGTCTTTGTTTATTTTTTAATAATATCTCAGTGTTTGGATCCGAGCATCCGGCATCTGGTTGACATTCGTTCTCGTTATTAGAAACAGAATAAATTCCTTTTTTTTTTTTAATGTATTTTTGCCTTTCTTTTTCTTTTCGCACTGCACATTGCTCGGGGTTATTCTTTATATGTTGATATCGAATTCTCTCGGCTACTCTTTTTTTCTCTAAAATTGCATCTCGTGTCGCTTTCCCCATATTGTAATAGTCCAAACACACATTCGGAATTTCAGTTGTTACTAGGAAAATGAAAACAAACAGATATTAGATGTAAGCGAATGTTAAAAATCATATCATTGTCACGTTCTAATTTGAATGGAAGACAATACAGGTTTTTTGTAATTCTCCTGGTTCCTAATTGTGCAGGGGAATGTCGCCAGGGGAATTACGGATTCACCCTTATATGCTTAAATTATCGGTTAAAAGCTCAGAAATAGATTTTACGCTAATACAATGTTGTTCTGTCTTTCATTTTACATTCAATAACACATCAAATATTTTAGAACACGAACAAAGGACAGTGGAATGACAAAACTTACTGGCATGGACATGACTTGACCAGTTGAAGACCAATCCACAACTAACGCGGACAAACAATCTCCAAACATTTATGTGTTCTCAACCTCAGATAAAATTATGTAGAACCATATACAACGTAGTCATAGTGGCATAAAGTTTATCCATGAAAATTGACTCATACTTACCGACAGGGGAATTACTCCAAAACACGGAGACACACAGGGAAGTCTTATTAACTCAAAATTGAATAAACTTTTGTTATTTTTGTATATCTATAAGTATAAAGCAAGTATCTGAAAATATATTACCGTAAGTTTCGTTTTGGTAAGTCCGCAATTTTCATAATTAGCTCGTTTTTTAGGTGAGAAAGCGGGGTCAGAGACACACCAGGGGAATGACATTTTCCATACTTGACCTGATTTTTTAGTAGAAATGAATAATTTTATAATTTCCAAACACAACGTTCTGAATAACACGGTTACTCATCTGCAATTTGATAGTTCAAAAACCCAATTATCCTGAAAATTTTCCCGAAAAATTGAGATGCCGTTACCAAACCACTTTATCAAATATTTACCCGTACACCTTCTTCCTCTTGTATCTTCATGTTTTTTTATGGTTTTCTGCAATCTCTTGTCAATCTTAGCTTCTTTTGTCGATTGAATTGATTGTATCCTAGTGTATTTCAAACGATTAGCCATCTTCTTATAATAAATACGAACCGCAGCTGTCGAGAAGGGCGCTGCAATTAGCTAGGCCGATCCAACCCGATGTCCGGTCACATTTATTGCCATAACTTTGTAACGGAGTGGAATTTTCTTAAATTTTTTTAATTCTTAAAAGTATGACCAATGAAAATATGTAAAAAATCAATTTTTTGAAAATGTCCGGCCTATATGAGCCCTTAACACTAAACCTACCAGAGCGGTCAAATGACCGCTTTTGAGACTTTAATAAAAATTGATAAATTCCAGGTTTTTATTTTTCTTGAACTTACTGCACGACTATGCTAAATTCTGTATTAATTACAATAAACTGGAAAAGACTATAATGTTTATTTCAAAAGCGGTCATTTGACAGCCATCGGTAGAAATAAGTATATATAATATGTCGGTAGGTTTAGTGTTAATGTGTAAATTTCACCGCAGAAGAAGAGATAATACTGGAAATTACGGGGAGCCTGCCGAGTTCACCTGCCGGCGCAGCTAATGGACTCCTCCAACCTTCACCTTGATAGACGATCGTTCAGTTGCAATTCCAAATCGCGCAGCATCCCGACTATGAATTTCAGATCAGCAAATGTGGATGGGGCTCGTGAGAATGCAACATAAGCAACCGTAAAAAAATGGGAGCTAGATGTTGCCATATGTTTACGTATGTTCGAAGCTTCCGGATAAGATGTAATATATTTAAACTCGCATAGTTTTAACAGCTGAATTTAAGCGTTAGAGCACCTTCAGAGTTTATCCATTGAGGGTGAATGTATGATAAGTAATTGGCGATATGACATTTGGTCACTTTGGGCGTGGAATTCAAGAATTTGTTACAGACATCACATCTAGTAACTGACATAGGTAGTGGATGTAAACACCAGGCTGGTCCATCGGTAATGTTTACGTGAAAGATTCAGCAGAGAGCGTCAGCCGTAAATATTTCTAATCAGTTGACGTTCCAATGACAGTTAACTGTTAGTTTGACAATGACCGAACGTGACTTGTTAATATTTGCCACTGGATTGTTTACCGAAAAACAGAGAATGTAGGTGGATCATCGGTGAAATTCAAAGGGGCTGCGCAGCGAGTGAGTGATGGCTGCACGGTATTCACTTGGGGCGAGGTTCACAGTCGTAATCAACTGACTCGTCGTTTAACAGACGCAAAGCTTTCTTTCTTGGCTCCAACCGAATGAGGAGAAGTAACAGGTGCTGCTGTGGAACGATGACAACTGTTTATAGTCCTCGAATTAGTTGTGGTCTTACAACTGCTTGACAACCGAACTGCTGGCCTGGCTACTAGCAAATGATAGTGAGCTCAGCTTACGCACCCTGGGGGCTGCCGTGGAACGTGCTAATGGTGTAGTTTAGTTTTAACGGCGATCCGCAGAGCGATTATACCTGGCGCGTTGGCATTGGGCCAACTGTCAGCACTTTGGTTTTGGCCACTGCTATAGAATTGGAACCTGTACTGTTGAATCTACCAATTTAACACAATTTGCTATATGTGAACGACAATGCTACTAATTATTGTGGAACGTTCGTTCTGAAGTCAATAATCGTTCTATAGTTTGATAATTATTATCAAACTTATTAATGCTTATAGATTTATACATTTTTACTTCGGCACTGTTCATATGGTACAAACATGCAATATGACAGTAGGGACGGTATTTGTCCTTGTAAAGGAATTCTTCTTATAAATTTTGGACACGGAACCGAGAAACATGTGATTGTCATGATCGTACTGAAAGTATTTAATAGAATGTTGATATTTAATCCTCTACATAATTACGATTCGATATGATAGTTCTGGTTCAAGGTATATGGAGTAATCGTCAGAAATCAATATATTCACGATGATATAAAATTATTTGATCAAATAATTTTTCGATGATCTTAATCATTTTCACATGTATAACGAATGAGTAGTTTATCCGTATTCTATAATTGGATCTATGGTTTCTCGTTCTCTTTTTAGCTGTTATTATTTTTCAAATGTCATGTAACTTAATTAATGAAAATAGTATTTACCGTAATTCAACATTTCTTGTGTAGTTTTAAAATGTCTTCTGATCAAGGTAAAACAATTTTTTTCTGTATTTTTAATTATTATTGTGTCTCATTTGCGACTCTGTTAATATTTGTATCAAAATCTTCTTTTGTAAATTCGAAAAGTCTTTTTCGAGTCTTAACTCTTTCTCTTCTTCAGATTTGATATATTCAGAACGGTACAGTTCCCCTACCTTCCTTAAGAGAGTAACAATATTTTTGACGACTGATGATGTCTTATATTTGATCGTAGATTCATCAAATCCAGCAATACGCTTAATTGCATAAAATAATATACACTCACTACCACCAGAAATTTCCAGTTTATTGATAAATTCTAACGGCGTAGAGTTATGAGAAACATCAGCTGATGCTTCAAAAGAAATTTCAAGTTCTTGCAAGGCAGAAGCAGAAAGACAATCCAATTCTTTATCAGTACCATTTTCAATGTTCAAACTGAAGGTTGATTCTGGTTGTAATAGTTCATGAGTCTCATAATTGCTAAAATAAAAGTTATACGTGCAAAACACTTTTTCTTCAGCCACTGAAACCGAGCAAACTATCCGGGATAGAATTGGAATTGTTCGCAATCACTTTGCATAGGGGATGTTTTCATTACAACTACATTGAAACCTCGTTTAAGTTGACTCGTCAGAAACGTAAACATCTCGATTATGTTGACTCAGGAGGGGATCCCACCACTGCGCGGTTCCCCTCTTGCGATTATTGTGATTGGCTGATGCGCGTCACTATACAATTGCATTCTCCCTGCCTCATTACTCGGTGCAGCTACTTGAGAATTACGTGGGGGCGCGGGAGTCAACATAAACGAGAGGTATCGCGTAAACTTAAACGCGAGTAACCTTTTCTGAGAGTCAACCTAAACGAGGTTTCAGTGCATTACAATAGTTATTTACTGATCTACGAGTATTCGTTCTGATACAAGAAAATTTGAAAATATAGAAAAGATGATTAAAGTCGAATGTACTTAATTTATCTGGCGGTCCCATTTTCTAAATGAATATAGTGAATATTCATGTCTAGATTACCTATTGTAGAAACAAAAATTAAGGTATAAGAACCATTTTTTGACAATAGAACCTTCTGGAATCTGGCATTTTCTCTTCATCCCATATCGACTTAATAAAAATATACCTGACGGACTCAGATCCAGGTTGTAAGTGGTATTTAGCGCATTATTCCCTTCAATTCCGTCGGTGGTGCCTAATGATGCTTAAAATTAAGCAAATACATATAATATTCGATATACTACTCCTTCTATACATACAATACTCGTTGGTAAAAAAAAATGCAAAATATTTTGTATTTTCACTTAAATATTAGATTTTTGTGTTCCGAAGTAAGCTTTCAGTACTGTGTAAATGACGTCATTACTGTATACTATGCGACCGTTCCATTTTTATCAGTTGCACTGTTCAAATTGTATAACGGAACACGGAAAGTATCTGCAGTATGTTAATAACAGTGGCGCCACTAAGCGTCGAAAGCATTAAGCACTCTAGTGCAGTAGATATACGGAATTAAAATGTATTTTTTTATCAGTTGCACTGTATTTTGTATTTTCACTTAAATATTAGATTTTTGTGTTCCGAAGTAAGCTTTCAGTACTGTGTAAATGACGTCATTACTGTATACTATGCGACCGTTCCATTTTTATCAGTTGCACTGTTCAAATTGTATAACGGAACACGGAAAGTATCTGCAGTATGTTAATAACAGTGGCGCCACTAAGCGTCGAAAGCATTAAGCACTCTAGTGCAGTAGATATACGGAATTAAAATGTATTATTATGAAATAGCGTTATAATTACATTTCTCCAACAAAAATCTGAAAATTATAATTATATAACGTAGATTATCAGTGTCATCAATTTTACTTCGAGTAATTTTATTTCGGTTGAAAAATTTGTTCACTTACCATTTCTTGCTTTTTGGTTCGACGCAGGAGATATTTGCATAGTGTAAGACACATTTGTGTCAGCATCAATTAAAACGATTTCAGTATCCATTTCAGTATCCATATTCCTCGGTTCGTTTTCCCATTTTTTCCCGCTAATTTCACCGGAAGCGGAGAGGTCATTTCCCATATTACTGTGAGCGCCTAACCCTCGTATAGTCAGACGCTCGCAGTAGAAAAATTTGGTAAATCTATGGCGTCATCAAAGTTATTAGGCACTGCTACAGTGCTCTGCAAGCCTATAACGGAGTGCTGCCAGTACTGAAAGCTTATATCGGAACACGCCGCTAATCAGCGATATGACGTCACGTCTGATCGGTCTATCCAGGATCTTCGAAATGTCACAATCTCGCTGTCGTAGCTTCGGAGTGTCTAGGCTGCTCTGATGATGACCTCCGTCCGGACACAGTCGGGACGGCTAGTTGGCGGAAGGTCATGTTGCCCCGCACCGGGGTAGCTCCTGACCACCATCCTCTTCGTTACCTCTGATGATTTCATCTCGGGACATCGGTACTGACAATATCGTGAGGAGCGTTACAGTCCATGGCAAAGTCTTCCCCGTTGCCGACCCCCTACTCAATTCGGGAACCATGGGCCGTGGGGTGGAGGCGTCTAGTAATTTTGGATCGTTCTTCACTGTCTCAGTTGGATACCTTCATGGAGTACGTTTACACGGCGGTCTTAAACCAGCTTAATTAATACTTATCTAAAGGAATTACCCAATCCCAAATATTTTTCACAAGTAGAAACGTCTATGATTTGTCAATTCCTTTAGATTAGTATTAACTCAATTGGTTTAAGCCCATCGTGTAAGCGTAGTCATGGTTATTCTCCTCAAGTTTAAATTGTGATTCTCCTCGAGCAACGTGAAGATATCCAATATTATGGTCGGATTCGTAACGCATGAAATGGTTTTACAATAGAAGTTACCTTATCTGTTCATAAATCTCAAAATCGGGATTCTGTGGCGCGATATTAAGCGACTGTACTACTTGATAGGCACGATAGTTTAATAG